GCAGAACGCGATCCTGGGCATGGATTTTATGGTCCCAGCCGGTGTACGGATGGACCTCGCCGACGGATCGATGCGGCTACCTGACGAGGTGGGAATACCGCTTAATGGTCGTAAGAGATTGTATGGCGAGAAGGTGAGATCGGTCATTCTCGAACGATCTCTACGAATCCCGGTCGGTCGGTCGATCGGAAGAAAGATGTGAGAATAAAATTGTCGGCCACGGAAAAGTTGTGGGTCACCAGAGGAGAACGATGGGTACCGACAGTTACAGATCCGCTACCTGGTGATCTCGAACATCGGAGATAGGATCTTACGGCTGGGCCACCGTCTGGACGTTGGTATGATACCGGATCAGGACAAAGTACCTCGATCCCCGGGGTTCGTGTCCGTCGGGCCACGTCGCTATCGGGAATGGCAGAATCTGGCATTGGAATCAACAGTAGATACTAGATCGGACCCCCCTGAACTTATAGAAGACTTTGCGGAGCCGGCAGTACCACGACCATCGTATCCCACACCACGTTCGATACTTCGCCGCCCGGGATCCGATGTGATTGACAGAGATCAAACATTGATATCTACCCTAGAATTCCGAGGGCGGGAATTGCCGACGTATCCCAGATCGAGGCGGAATCTCCCGATCCAGAAAGGGGACGCCCATCTACGCCAACGACCAGCCCCGATGCCGATCGATACCTGAGCAGCGATGCTGAGGGCGGCGGGATAAGTGAGAGCATGCCGGACCAGGCCACCGATCGGACGGATGCCAAGGTTATCAAGCCGGAGAATCCGACTGACATCAAGGATACCGAGCCGAAAACGTAAAATCAAACCCAGATCCAACTCGATCCAGCCCAGATCAAACTCGATCCCGGCGAAGAACCCGACGCAAAACTCCCGATCTGTCCGACTGAGGGCGTCGGACAACGAGATCCGCCGGCAGAAGGAGCTACAGCGACCGCCCCACAGGATGCCGAGGACGATGAGGATATATACTACCATGACAGTGAGTTCCTACCAACAACACACACTTCCCCGCAAAGGTTAGTGATTTGTTGGATTTAAACCTGAAGGCCAGGAGCGATCCCTTACACCGGGTTGGCCTAGCCACTGTGTACCCCGGGTTGCCTTCGGTCAACCCTTAAGAAACCTACCTAGCCACGACCGAGGACTCGGAGGTATATTTCGCGCTCTCGCGCAAACCCACTGCGGTCCCTCAGAATAAGGGTGTAGGTTTTCTCAAACCTAGTACAGGGGCACGGAGGGAATCCTCGGTAGGAAGTCGAGTGTATGTGAGAACCCTCTGTCCACACAAATACACACTGAACGAGCTTTCGCTAACGTTAACGATTGTACGCAAGAGTAACGGCGTGGATATCAGGTTGTGCATCGATTACAAGCTGGTAAACAGCCTCACGAGATTGATGGTCTATCCTATGCCCCTGATCAGCGATCTGCTAGAAGATCTTGATAAAGCACTATGGTACTGTTCGCTGGATGTGGCCAGCGGCTTCTGGGTCGTGCCCATGACGGATCGGGCTCGCGAGATATCAGCATTTATCACACCGTTTGGATTATTCGAATGAACTCGCATGCCTTTTTGTCTAAAGAATGCCCCGCAGATTTATCAACGCCTCGTAGACAACGAGCTGTATGTATTTTTGAAGATCTCGCGATCCGGCGACGCTGGGGCTACAACGGACGTGTTC